CGTTGTAAATTTCACACTGCGCAAGCAAACTCAAGTTCGATCCCCGCCAGCACCAATTACTGTTAATTGCCGTTTGTATGTAGAGTTACAACGTGGTCGGTGTTGAAGGAGAGTGGTAAGGATACCTGAATATCCGAGAAATAAAATATCTTTACGTGGTAGAGCCATGCTGCAGCTATATTAATGGTATAGTTGTAACACGAATAGGTCGGCTCGACTAGGGAAGGACCACGCTTTCACAGAATACCAGCGTAAAATAGCAGCTTAACGCTGCTGTGTTTCGTATCATGAGTGTAGAGAACCGGAGACCCGTTTTACTGGAAATGAGGCATTCGATCTTAGTCCTCACGGGTGACCACGTTATCGAGGATAGATGTAGATGTCTATGGGTCACAGCAACTACTTACTGTGTGCTCGTTTGTCACCCTTATCGTATAAAAAAATATCTTTAGTACAATTGAAGTCCATAAACACGCACTGAATTTAGCGGCTCAACATTGAGTTGCTCCATAACCCTCTCAGAATCCTCTTCTCAGAGGAACCCTCTCAAAATCATCTTCTTTATCAGCCCGTAAAAATCCTTACCCATTTTAAAGAAAATTTATCCTCAGTCACGCTTGTCAGGCAGAATGTCAATATAAGCAACAGATGTCTTACATTTTGGCCAGACGCCGGTCGAGGAATTTATTTCAAGCGCACACTGGATAATTATATTACCGTCTAACGCAGCCTTAAAATTTTATGGCATTTCACACAGACACCACATATGAAAAACACGGGATGAAATGTGGTGATAAATATTTTTGCACCGCGAAACCACCACAGCCTGCTCAGATGTAATTTAGATGCGTAGTTCAAGTCTTCAAAGGTAGCCAACAAACAGTATGCTATGAAGATAAGTTGTCTAATAATTTTCGTTTTGAGTATTTTGTCTATTATTTAGATAATCCTCGCTTTTCACTTTTTTGGGGATATTGCTTTCATTACACTCTTATACAATCATATCATATTCCGCCTATTTCGTGAAGCCTTTTTTTAAGCTTTAGTACAGGTTAAAAATGACGTTTCCGTGGCGCAGTGGCCAAGATTTTGGCTGCGGCGTAGGCTTAGATCCAACACGAAACAAAAAATTGTATGGCCTATAAATAATTATGGTTCCAGATTTTGGTCCATTAAATTGGTACATGTGCAATTCCTAATATGGGGTAACGTTTATCATCCTCATAAACATTACAGCCTTCATAGACTGTAATTGATTGTTTGTATGTACTCGTATTGATTGTACATTATTGTTGATACCATCTACAGCTCAACATAGGCGGTTGGGTAAGCGCAGTAGGTAGCGCAATGGTTATTAGGAAGATGGGTGGGGAACTTTTTTTTTATATGATAAGGGTGACAAACGAGCACAAAGTCCACCTGATGGTAAGTTGTTTCTGTGACCCATAGACATCTACATCTATCCTCAATAAAAAATCTAAATGCAGATACGATGTCACCCGTGAGGACTAAGATGGAATGCCTCTGTTCCAGTAAAAAGGGTCTCCGGTTCCCTACACTCACCATAAGCTGCTATTTTACGCTGGTATTCTGTGAGATATTCGTTTATAAAATAATAAAAAAGGTCACACAAAATGACTGTTGCCCCACTTCGCCGGGTATTTTAGGTCAGTAAATACTATCAGATAATTACTTCGCTATCTGTATGAGACACCGACGAAATCTCCCTGACGTTTCTCTTAGTCGTTTTGTTTTTTAATTTCCGAGAGAACGAGACAGGAATATGTATTCGTTTATTTCACCATTATACGAATTAGAACGAATGATCATATTGACATTTTTAGGGTTCCGTACCCAAAGAGTAACCATCGGGACCCTATTATTAAGCCTCCGCTGTCCGTCCGTCCGTCCGTCTGTCTTTCAGCGGGCTGTATCGCGTGATATCTACGGCTGTATCCGTAATAGGTAGACAGTTGATTTTTTCACAGAATGTGTATTTCGATTGCCACTATAACAACAAATAATAAAAATTTAAGTAGATTAAAAATTTAAAAGGCTACCCTAATAGAAACTTGTATTATGATGGTACGGAACCTTTTACGTGCGAGTCTTACTCGCACTTGGCCGGTTATTTTTTAAAAGAAATCTTAGTTCCATAAAAGATTATTCACTCTGGTTAAAGTAATAATGATATTCAATAACAATATCAACACAAAAAAACCAACAACTACAATTCTTATCGGATCCCACCGAATGCAAGAGAACAGGAATATAAGACGAATATTTGAATTTAAATATCGAGATTATTCTCTTACGAAATCATCTACTCTCGTTCGGAACGAAATATCTCGCCCCTTATTGGCGCTCGGGCAACAATGGGCAATTATTTTCCGCCATGCTTTTTATTAATTACCAGCGTCGGGCTCGCAAGGCCTTTGTATTTTAATTTTGACAAATTCACAGCTTTCCCAGAAGAAAGAAGCAACCCCGGCCATCGCTGCATTCCTCTGCAGCCAAACTAACAAGGAAATCTCTTTATTACGACTCGTTTAATCCATAAATGTACCGTAATGAATATGTAAGTAAGTAAAATAAGCGTTTTTCTTATATTTTTACACAATCAAATAAGATAAACATAAAATAATTAAGGTTGCACATTTAACTAAGCGTTATATTGCTTACACCGAGTGCGCGCATGCTTACAACAATCAACAACACAATGCTTTATAATTAATACACTATTAGAAATTATTGTTTGCTGCTATTGAACAACAGATGGCGCTTACTACATTTCTGTGTCTGAGATATTGCTCATCACAATATTCGGATATTTTTAAACTATTTATGTAACTGATATAAATATTCAATGCTGTGTTCTAATTTCGTATTAACAATAGTGCATTATGTGATTTTTATAAATGTTAGAAGAATGTTGGCCGCATGACGCTCACATATGAGAGGAAAGCGCGGATGCCGCCGGCGAGGGTGCTGGCGCGACGCCAACAAGGTGAATGCCACTATTGCACGCACTGGGCCACGCAACCCACTTTACCCAACACGCGGAAACGTATCGCGTCCTTCATACGTCCAATTTGTCAATATACAAAAACTAGCGAGGAAATAAAAAAGTTGTTCAAATATGTTTATATTTAATAATTTTCTCTCTAATATGAGTACGTAACTTTAGACATCAAAATGGTTAAAACACTTTCTAAAACATCTAGTAATAATTTAAGGTACAATCGCCTGCAGGTAACAGCTATCTGTTAGTTCTTATTTACACGATTTTATGCATGGTACCTACCTATCCAGTTGACAATTTCATTAATAACTGACGAATATAGCGTTCCGATTAGAACACTGACTTATAAGATCTAGTACTCGTAATTATTTCTCATAAGGCACAATTAAGAATGCCATATAATTTGTAACGAAGGTTGGAATTTGCATATATCTAGGTAAAATATGGAAAATCTTTGCAGGTGCATGTTACCAGTAATGAATACAAATAAGGATATCGTGCAATATTGTCATCGCCTTAATATACATAGGACTAAACCATCGTCATAAACATCGTTAATATAATTTTTGCTTTCATGTGACAACAACATGAGTAGTGCTGGTTCAAATGCTGCTCTTCAAATTTTGTTTGTAATTTGAAGTGATAATTTACCAGAAAACACATAGCGAGGAAACCTGCATGTTTAGATGATTTAATATTTCAAGAAGATATGTAATTGACCAATATACAATATCGCGGCGGACTAACTTTAAACACTTTTGGGGTGGTGCACTGCAGTAGGACTTATAATATAAGCTGCAGCTTTATTTATTTTTTAGCTTGCGACAACAGGGAAAAGTATAACTGACTGCAAAATTACTCTAAATTATTTACTTTATCTTTGTACCAACCTGTTAAAGTAAAAATATCTTTATTTGTCTACATATAATTACAATGCATTATAGTTGGACGGGTCAGTAGCGCAGTGTCTAAACGTTTAGCTGCGGAGCTGTGTACCGTAGATTCAATTCCCGCATAGAACATTTAATTGTATGGTCCACAAATAATGTTTCAGGTTTTAGTAGCTACCTACGTGTAATTTATTTGTATAAAACGAAACGGACTGGTCGTTACGAGTTCAATTAGAAAAGATTTCATTGTTTTTAAAAGGTATACTCTTTATTTTAACATTATTTAGTAAGAGGACAAATATCAGAAAAAAATAATTTTGTGGATACATTTAAATTCAAAATTTATTCGAAATTACATAATTAGATATAAGCTAATTGCTAAATTCGCTAGTCATAGACCTATGACCTGTAATACCTTTTCTTTGTAACTAATATAGCCCTTCTAGTCAAGTTTCTATTTCAGTTTCTCACTGTCGCCTCTTACGGCACCCACGGGTTTTGTTAGTGAGTCCCCTTACGCCGCTACTATACGGTATTATTTCTTTTTCAGTCCGTAGAACTAGAATGCTAGACATGGGTTTCTCTCGTTGTAGGAAGAATTTGCCTTATCCGCCACGCTTCTCAGCACCCTGTAGGCTTCTGCCCGTTGCCGAGCTGGATATTTCACAAGCCATACGATTACTACCCCACGGAACGGAGTGGGATGATGGATGGATGGCCTCTCTTACACCATCAATTTAAAAAAATATATATTTAAATATTCTGTTCCTATTTAAATATAACCTTACTTTTCAAATTTCTTTTATTGATATACACAGCAACTTGTATCAATGTAGAGTTAATGACGTTTCCGGTAACTTTATCACGAAGACTTAACATACTCAAGGATTACATAATGGCCGCGAATATAACCCCGCTGAAATGCAAATTGACATAATGCAGGAAACGTCTGAGTGGGTCTCATAGCGGCCGCCTATGCGCCATGAGTACCATAAGTTCGTTTGCATACGACAGTCTGTTGTATTTGCATCCCAAATGCTCGATGCGACCGCTCGTTCGCCAGACTTATCTCCGTTTCAAGCGAAATATTACAGTTTGTGCATCGCCTCTCGCAATGCATATCTGAATGTCAATAAAGGAATAAAAAAGCCCACCGGAGGCGTTCCCGCACAATCGAGGCGGATGTGCTTTCCACCAATGGGCGAGGAGAGCACGGCATATTCATAACGATATTACCGTCGACGGAGTTGCGGCGTCATCATAATTCATATATAATAACCCTTCCGTAGACGACGCGATGCGGCGCGGCGCCCTGCGTCTCATTCTCTCGCCCGCTATCTCTTCAAGAGCAACAGAGACACCCGCCTCCACTCAAGAAATCATAATTCATAATTTTATTTCTTTACGAGCTTCGGCAACTCACCTACTTGTGCTCATGAAAATTTATCGTTTCATTTGCACCTACCAGAATCGAGAACGTTTCAGTTGCTCTTCGCTTTGTTATCTGCACAGATTTGTATTAAGGGAACACTTCTATTGAATAGGAAATAAGGATAACTTTATACATATATGTTTACCTGAAATTCACGAAATAGTAAAGTTTGGTATGTGAATCTGATGACAGCTATTTGTAATTGGAATATGACGAGACGCGGGCGCGTGCGCTCGGCAAGTCTCATTCGTCAGTTTAAAAATAGAACTCGGCGTCTGCGCCGTGACGACTCGCGCCATTAATTTATATGAAATAACTGTCGGCAGTCGGAAAAATAAGTTCGATCGAGAACGGCCTTCTACACGATAATATTTATGTTTTACGAAGTGGCAGACGGGTCAGACTCATCCGTTGATGTAAGTATTTCAGAAATCATATCTACCTACTCACCAAATTATCTATATGTTTAACTGACTCGCTTACTGACAATATTACTTTATTTTCGATAATTTTATCAAGTTCATTGATCTAAACGTTATCAGTGACTAAACCAGTCAACAATCTTGGCTAATCAACATAGTGGCATTTACAAATCTGTAGACGAAGTAATAAATAACTACTATTTGAGCCATAAATTTCAATTATACTCGCTCACGCTAGTTCTTTGTTTTGTTCATCGTTTTTTTTTTTTTTTAATAAATACGATCCTTTAGCGAAAGATCTTTTACAGTTATGTTTGAATCAAATAAATATCCAAAAATACTGACTCGGAGCATTATGATCATCACAAAATACGCCAACGGCACATGAGACATAAATTCGTTAGCGCGCATGTAATCGTCAGGAATATACCAACAATTTACGGCATTAAATTTTAAAGTTGACATAAGAAAGAACTTCTTATGAAGCAATAACTCAGCCCGGTCTTAATGACTCCCTTCTTTGGAATGTCTTACAAATATGTATATAGAAAATACAATAGCTACCCACATAATAAGATCGGACCATCTTCACCATAAACGTTAACTGTGCCGATAATAATATTTCTAGAGAATATGAAAAACTTATCAATCGTTTGTTCGTATTTAGTTGAAATCATTTACTTAATTTAATTTTAATTTATAACACATATTTAATTTAAAAAAAATCATCAAATAATTACAAATAAAACAGTGATATGTTTAACTTTGAATCATCACTAGGTACTCGGTTACCAGCAACACATGGCATCGGAAAAACACCTATATTAAGGCCATAAGGTTAGAATAAATTTAAATGCTGATGCTGATTGAATTTGATTTTATTCATAATGAAGGTAACAAAACACAGCTGATAATCTTCCTTTTTATGCTAGCGACTTTATAACATATCTATCTGACAGTCAGGTGTTTCATGAATGCGTCAACAGGCATTCATAACTTCGAAATTTTTCCAATGCCTTAAACTCTTTTCATCAAATAAATATTAAATAACTTAATTTTACAATCATGCAAAACTTTATTAATGAGCAAATATAGTCAGTTCAAATAAAATTTCCACATGGAATTACAGTTACTCGAGGGATAAGCGCTCGCCTTGAGAAACGGAATTCGATCTCCATCTGCCCCAATAGGTGAAATTGTTGATAACAATTTTAAGTGCTGATTTAGCACGTGCTTTTCGATTATGGAAAATATCGTGACTTTCATATTTGATACATGCTTGGGAGAGCGCTGCGACTTTTCCCAACGTGAAAACATATCTAAATGAGCTCTCATAAATAAATGAATACTCGTGCCCAGTTATGGATAAGTGTTAGACTATTACATTGTTACTGTTACTTCCTTTTATTTATGCAAAAGAATGATGTAACATGTTGTATTACAAAACATAAACGTCGTTCTACGCACAGAAAATCGCATAAATCGAATAATTACGAAGTAACACTAAATGATTTGAAAAATCCGTAACATTTTCACTCATAAAATCAAGAACGTAGCTTTAAATGTAACCAGTTATAAAACTGTTCGTAGCACGGGCACTCGAAAAGATAATACCTGAAGGCCGACAAAAAACATCAGTGTCAAAAACCTGACCTGACAGATAGCGCGGTCGCAGTTTTGCGTCGATCTATAATCTATAATTAATATGGACAAGAGACCTAACAAATTAATTAACGATGGTAAAAACATTCTCAAAGTACCATGCACAAGATAAACAATATTAACCTAATGGATTCCCGAGTTACTTGAACTAAACTCGTATTTAAATCTAAAGATATTTAAACACATCGCCCTCGCGCTTGCTCTCTCCATAAATAAAATAAATACAAATATTCTCACGTAAGCGAGTAACTCGAAAGCGTTCATTTACATTTGTGAATGTAATAAATGGGGCAAAGTCTAAATTTAAAATAATTTCAAATCGTGAAAATATATAGTAAGCATTTGATGTAATAATAATTGACTAATATATATTTTAATAGATAAACAGCCATATTTATATCACGAATCAAGCTAACGGAACTCAAAGGTTGGTAGCTGCTGACACATAAAGGTAGATACGAAAAAGGGTAACACACCTGCCCATATTTGTTCTTATCCAAAAGTACTGATTTACGACCAGGTACTGAACGTACAAATAAGATCATCCAAAAGATGCTTCCAAAAAATATAATAAGAGCGCCACAAAAAGCTCAGCAAGACGCGTCAACGTCGGCCGCGGTCCATTGGCTGCGCGAACAAAGAAATATTGCCGCACTTTCATTTGTTCCCTTTTCCGCCATATTATTATTAAGTCTTTTTTGTTTGTTGGCAAGCAAAGAAATCAATTATTTCGAAAAGTTCACGATCTTCCAATACGATTAGAATTACCAGCTAATTGAATTAAAATCCAATGACCTAAAGGTATATTAACAAGACAGTCCCCCACAATGTTAGAAGAGATATAAACACCAATATCAAGATACTAATTATACGTTACTTTATTTAGATTATAGTTATCTAGTTTATAACATATTTTAGTGCACCATAAACAAACATAGCAAGAGTTTACAGCTCCTGACGGTCCCGGCGCACATTCGAGCCATTGTGCCTCTTATAATTTTTATTAGGGGCAATCCGTCCGTCTTGATTTACTTCTTCCCGAACTGATGGATCTTTCATTTAATTTACGATTTTACCCTAGTGTTCCAAATGTAATAAAACGCTACAAAAACAAGCAAAAATGAATACGTCACATCGATGTTTTCGTATGTAAAAGATGTTTCGTAAATAAAAAGAGACTTATGGGAAAATAGATTTCACAATTACATTCACAACAATGACATACACAACAATGACATACATAATCAAATTTTAATAGAAATCTAATAAAATTTGATTATTTCCAATAAAAATATATTGTTATCCTGTATCATAATTTTCTAATGCCCACTGCTAGATATACATAAGTATTTTTAAGAATTGGATTCCTAGCAAGAAGCACTTGGAAGATTTTTTCCATTTGCCCATATTCACGCCGAGCAGCCGAGTTGGTAAGCAGCAGACAAATAGGTGGAATTCACACATCTTCGAAATATTTATATTTCTCAGATATGCAAGTTTCCTCACGATGTTTCCTTCACCGATAAAAACATGGTAAATAGCACGTAGTAACAATTTCATCTTTGCTATGGATCGAACTCGGGTCGCCCGCGTACTGTAAATAAGCCAGCGCTCTCTGAGCTACCGCAGTTCTCCAATTTAAAACGATTAAATAATATGTGAAATATTTTTAAAATAAACCTTTTACATTCCTTTTCAAGCTACGACCTAATATTCCATATCCACAATATTAGACAATATAGGTACGTACTTAGGTTATTTTTTATTTTTAAGATGATGTGTAAGAATTGTAAAATAAAAATCGTTAATTTTATCCGTGACTACAATAAGATTGTTATATATTTCTAGCACTTCCTAGGTGTTCCCGAAAAAAAGGAAGAGTTCGTTCGCTAGCTTTTTGGCAAACTATCAGAGATTTTTATTATTATAATGATGCTTCTACTCATAACACTATCGCCTTGGCAAATGCCTTCATATTCACGATATGCTATTTTTCCTGAGAACATTAACGTCAACGCGGATTCAACGCCGTATGTAATGAAGTGTTTGATTTATATTATACACTGGTTATAAAAAGACGTTGTGTATTGGTATGCACAACCTCAGGTACAAACATATATGTAAGTATATCTACATATTTATAACAGGCGCCACACAACGAAATAGTATAGGTGAAATATTTCGCACGATTCGCCCCGAGATGCACTAAAAATAGGTGAAAGCAAAAATGTTAATTATTCTCCACTACGTCATGACCGAGCCAACAGCAACACGTACCCGGTGCGTCTCATTTGCAAGTAACAGAACGTGTATTATAGAGCCACACTGGCAATAAGATAAAAAGGCGCTCAATAAGGTGCGATCAGAGGCAAAAATGAAATAAATTGGCGGCGAATAAGAGTCCTGTGTGCAATTGAGGCAAACACGGGCGCTCATTAGACGGGACGCTACTGCGACCCGCTGACTTCAACGGGCCGATCCAAACTTACGCCTAGGTGACATTGCGGTGATAATATAAAATTATAATATGCATATATTTATATAAGAACATTTTCGTTGAATCGTATTCAAGTGTTATTTTAAGCTATTACGTTATGACCAGGAAGAAAATAAATGTAAGGCCACTTCATTATGTCATATTTGCATGTAATTAAGGAAAATCATAGATTTAAGCCTTTTCACTACTTTTGTTTTAAGCTTGTAGACAATGTATGTCATCCTAAAAATGAAAATAAAAAACTCTATTACCTGTATGCGGAAAACCTGCTGAATCCTGGAACTAACAGAAACAGAAACAGAAACTTTTTTATTCAATATAGATTATAAATAATACTTATTGAAAGTCACTCTTTTGTTTAATGACCCCCGTGGTAATTAAACAAAATAGTGACTTTCAAAAAAAACCTCTGTCCTGGGAAGAACCAGCAAGAAACCCAGCGGGACATTTCTTTTAAATAACAGCTTACAATCATGTATGTTATACAATTAACAACACAAAAACTTATAAATAGCTTGGTAGTGATCACCTCATTTACAGGGGTTAAGTACCATCCATAACCTAAAAAATTGTTCATCAAAATACAATTGTTTGTCCTTAAAAAATTATTTTAATTATTAATGAAAATACTTCTAACTCTAAATATAAATATAAACTAGATAATAAAACAATACGTATCACGCACACACACAGCATTGTGTTTGAAATATCCCTTTAAACTATTTAAAGCGTCACAAATATTTATTACGTATTATAACAAAAGTGCCTACAGTTCTCGGAAATATCACATGCTAAATAAGCATTATGATCATGCTACAATGGGTTCTATGCCCAGCCCTTTTGCAGAAAAGTTGTAAAATCAACGCACATTAGCATAACAAAGATGGTCGTTCGCCGTGACAAAGCGGTGATATCGTTCAAGATGTCACTTTCACTTGTGTAGCGCAATTGGTGTAAAAAATGGGCTCTCAGAATTATTAAATAGTATTTTTCTGGTGTGTACACCGATATGGAAATTGTTCGAAACCGCAGGCTGCAGGAAAACAATGTAATAACGGCAGTAGTCACCGGAGCACGTCGTGACGAGACAACACTTATTCCGCTGCCACGTGAACTTGAAAACCGTAGAGTAATAATGGGAATGTGTCGCAGTTTGCATAATGCGGAAAATTAAAATACATTTCTAGTTTAAACTAAGCTTTGAAAATTGAATTTTCGGATGATTTTACAATGGTTGATTATTTTTGAGTGAAATTATCATTAATTATTTTGTGCCTTCTTCTTCTTTTTTTAATCTTCCGTAAAGTCCGCTGCTGGCTGAATGGACATGGGCTTCTTCAATTTCACGTAAAAGAGAGGATTTGCCATAATCCTACTTGGCAGGCAAATTAGCGATTAGACCACACATCTCGCGCCTTTAAAGCTGCTCTCCGTCAACGATCTGGATATTTTAAGGTTCTTAACTTCCTCGTGTTTACCACGTGTTTACCTCGTATTTACCAGTTGTTCGGCGGTGAAGGAAAAATCGTGAGGTAACCTGCATCCTGCATCTCTAAGAAATTAAAAAAAGACACGTGAAGTCCACCAACACGCAATTGGGAAGTGCCAGGACATCTCCTTGCCCTAAAAACCTTTCAGACGTAAAAGGAGGCCTGTGCCCAGCGGTGGGACGTCTATAACTTTAACTTCTCCGTGTATTAGTGGCGTAAGGGGCTACAAAGAGAAACTGAAACAAGATATGGGTAGCAGCATCTTTCTGTTGAGAGTCCAACTACATGAGGGAGGAATAATATGTCCAGCAGGAGACTTTGATAGGCCGTAATGAATGAATACATATCTCAATGAATACAATCTCAATTTTAGATTATTCTGACGATTCAAAGTGGGTGAAAACTGAATTATTAAATAATTGTTATATTCGTATATACATTTTATATATACATACTGGCTGGCGTTATATTGAGCGTTTAAAAAGCAAACTATAAACTCAGGAACGTCTATTACCTATCATAACCTTCTTAACCAAATATTAATATTATCATTTATCAGATATTTTACAATTAGTAACTTACAAAATATTATGTTATTTGAACTTATATAGACATATGCAATGTGTCGTAAGATAAGACACGACTTTTTTAATTATGAATAGTTAATTTTGTCAATTTATTCGACTCCACAGCTTGTTGTCAGCCGGTAACAAGGGTGGTAGACACGGCACAATGTCTACGTCACACATCTCCACGCACCATTTGCATGCACCCGAGCGCATCCCGTCGCATCCCGGTGCATCTCGCCTCCTCCCGGGGGCACACCAGAAATAGTATAATGTCATATCAAATGTCTAAAGACGCGTGCCCTGTAACTTAAACCTCAACAAAATACGAAACTCTGATAACTAAAAGATTTTATACTCTATTGGCATCAAGAGATATATATTAAAAGAGCTATATTGATTAATAAAGACACTTCAGTGTTAAACTTTTTATTAACAATTAAACAATAACAAAAAAATCTTGTCTGAAGACGAAGCCATAAATAAACTTTTCGTAAAGTGTCATTTTTTGTATCTTCATATAAAATTCCAATAAATAAATCCGAGTTTTTTTTTTTGTTTCGAAACTAGTCGTGACTAATTGGTCCTGCTGCAGCACAAAACGACGGGGCGCGCATCTAAATTGTTCATTCGGTTTTGCAAATATAATAATAAAATTTTATTACCCCGTTTGTCAAAGGGTTCGTCTGAAGACAGTCTGAAAGGGTACTTTGGTAAAATGTTAGTCCGTGCCCGTCATAAGTCAAAACGTGTCAATTGTTTGGTTGCATTTCGTCATAAATCAGCTTTACAAAAATACTTCTCGAAGGGAACTTGTAATACTGAATACAATATCATTACACAAATATAGAGTTATGGCAATTTTGCACGTACCACAGTTCTCATTGTGGGTGGTTTTAAAAAAAATTGCAAAATTCAGTTTTGGCAATATTCCGCGAAAAGAAAGTTGTAGATTGAAATGTGGACATCTTAGTGTAGTTATTCAATATTTGCAACCTGCTTTTAATATATGATTGTATTGTTCATATCAATATTATTTTATCATTGTTATTAGATACAGTTAGGAATTTTAATTTAAAAATAAACTTGACCTTGGTAAATCTTTATCGAACAAAAATTCCTCTAAGGTTCTTGCGTGGGCTTAGTAGATGACGTTGCTATGGCATTGATAGAAGAGTGATGGAGCGGGCCAGATCTGGGGTCAGCGGCGCCATGCGTCATCGCTAACGACGACAAATGACGTGACGTGACGTGACGTGACTGAGAATATTTAGAGTCGTGCCACGTTTCGGTACGCGGTAGCGCTCCTTGATAACGCTACCTACGGAGTTGCGGAATGTTTTATTTATGTATTTGGTACAGGTAAAATACATGTTTACATTCTATTATAACATACAAACATCAATTAACAAAATTTAATATCTTTATAGACGCTTTTAGATTGACCAAAATACATAGTTTTGAGTTTTGGTAAAATATGAATAAAAAAAAATTGTTTCTTAATGACGCCATAGATTATTTGACTTTAGAGGGAATGTGATTTATAGCGACAATCCATTTATAGGGAAAAAATACAGTTACTAATTTTAAAATTTAAAATAGCACCTTGATTTTAGGTTATTATCGCATCGTTTTTTATATACTCTTCCTTATTATAACTAAGATTGTTTTAAAATGGTAATATCAAAACATGGTGCTTGGTTCTACAATAGGATTTTTTTTCAACTACGCAGGATATATTTTAGTAATTGATAGGTCACCAGGCGTCCCTGCTTTTTCATTTTCGATGAAAAAATGCTTACGTAGTTAAAAATTAGGTGTTATAGTGCTCGTTTGACGCTTTATACTATAAAGAAAAACTGTTTGTAAGACCACCACTATATACCAAAATTCGAAAACTTACTCGTGGTTTAAATAAATATTTGCAGCGCCCAGAATTCGAATCCAGAACCCTGAACCGAAACGAAATTTGCTATAAAATGTAGTTATACATTATTACTAACTTCGCATACACAGCAAGTGGCTATTTTCCTGAAAAAATTATAATAACAGGTAACCTAATTAATAAGTGCTTGTGCACCGCACCACACCTCATCTTCATAAATCACAACATAACGAATTCCTGTATATAAATACAACCGTTGTCGGCGTAGTGTAGTTTCATGAAATGTTTGGACAAAAGTTTCCGCTTTTTAAACGTGTAACCGATGACAGGTGGGTGAATGTCGGAGCTATCGGACGTATTTTTTACCGAACAGTAGGAAGATGTCAATCCTCGCCACTATCCATCACGCTATTCGTTTTCCTTCATTCTAGTCATATAAATTTTGCTTTAACCTAAGATCAACTACACAGGTATAAGCTACAATTAAAATTATTGTTTACTTTAAATGGTACTTTTTTTAATATTGTTTATTTTATTCATTGATTATATTATGAATAATAGCAAAATATTAAAAAACATATTAAATATAGATACATTAATATTGTAAAATTATTTAATTAACGAAATTATGCAAAATATTGAAAGCTTAGTATGTGACGTAATCATATAAATGGCTTAGATGTACGTGATACGAAAAGTTTCCCACAGAGATTTAGCGGCGAGCCGGGCCGGCTGCACGCGACACAAAAATAGCACACATTTGTCGAAAAATAAAAATTTCCCCAAATAGACAGAAATATACAAAAATGTGAGGCAAAGAGCGAGGGGCGAACGTGATGGCGCGCCGTAATGTGCGCCCCTAATTAAAACGTTAAAAACCGACCGTTTCTGAAAAACGTCAATTTTGAAGAGAAATGTGCCGTCCAATAGATTGCGTCTCATATTATTTCAGTTATTTAAGCATCTTGTGAAAATTAAATGGTTTCCTTATGTTCAAATTTAAAATTAAATCACCTTAGAAATAACAAGACACTACGCACACATCTCCTTGCATTATGATAGGTAACAATTAAAGTTGAATGATTAAAATTTTCGGAATAGGAATAGAATAAAACGACAAACTGAAATTCAAATCGCAGTCTACGATTTCCATCAAGCAATCTATGCGTGTACAAAATCGTTATTTAGAAATTGAACCGAACTATTTTGAAATACAGACAAGCAACGAATTGATAAATCTAGCCGTTAAAGCGATATGCAGATCGGCATCGACATTCATTACCTAATTAAAATCGCAAGCCCCTTCCGCCCGCTACATTTCTCCAACGCGCTGCCAATAAATTTCATCCGCCAGTCGCCCCATAACGATAACCAGTTCCTCGGGAACTATCGTTCAATCTGCCGTCGATGCCGTATGTTGATCCGGTCGTGTACCCGCCGCTCTTTGCAGACGAGCCTGTCGATTCCTATGTATTATTTAGTACTATCACTATAGAGTGAGTGCGACGCTACGCGACGCCCGTGTGTGTGCGATACGCACACGGCGATACGTGCGAATGTCTTGGGTTCGAGCAACATTAACCCAGAGATAACGAGCTCACATATTCATAAAGAATAAAGAATTATCCTACAGCCCCGCTCTCCGCACAACTACATACCTCTTGCTTTGATAGTTATGCTCTCATTCACACTCTCCATTCGATTTCGATCTATCCGTTTCATTCTAAGGACCCAATAAAATGGGCACTCAAAGCGACCGAGTTAAAATTGGATTATCGACTTTAATTTATTCTATAGAAGAAATATTTCATTTTTGATCGGTGCTTGCTCATGAAACCCTTTTGCTCCTCGCGAACATCTTCCGAGTGGCTTCAAAAGGATCATTGTAGTTCGGGACACAGCATCCGGTTTTAATTCTTATTTCCAGACAGGGAGAGACCATTTAATCGTCGCGTTCATTGGGGACAAAAAGTCATTATCAAATTAAATGCGACGCGGTCCAACCCGCACGGCCTCATCTTTATGGGCGACATATTTGATTCGAAAACTTGTTATGCTTCGTCCTAAATAAATTATAACGAGAAATTGTAATCATTAAATGGATATATTTAAAGTGTGAGGACCGGCGTTGTCGGCGGGGCGACGACGGGGCGATGGTCGCGGCCGGCTACGTATCTGACTACATGAATGCCTGCTCGCTGAAGATACCGCGCGCAAATCTTAGTGGCCTTCGCATTGCATCGTTTTGTGACCTTTTCCTTCTATGAATCGATATTTTGTCGATTGGAAATAGGCATTTAATATTACATAATAACAAGCCAAATGATTTAATAATTTTATTTTCATAAAATGTATACTAATAACAAATAATCACTTTGCTAAGAACAAAGGTATTGAAATGATAAAAGTTTTAAGAACTCCAATTGATGCTCGATTTATCAAAATAAAGTGAAGAGCGTACGTGGGCAGGAAACAATTTTTGTTTTATCCTTAATTGCCTGAATGTAAATTATTTGGATTCGTGGGCGAGCAATCCAGTTTAGGATTATTCTATCAATACAAATGATACCTACATCATTGTAACCATGATTGACAAGACAATTTTTTTTATAAAAAATTGCATTATACGCCATTTTTATTTTTATTTTACAAAATCGAATAAGCCTATCAAAATATTCATTTCAGCCTATCTAAAGTCCGCTACTGAACACAGGCCTCCTTCATAGATTGCCTTATAGGGCTAATGGGGGAGACCTATGTTGATCATACATATATATGCCATAGCTGCCACGGTTGGCAGGTGGGTTCGAAACCGCAGTTTTATATTATTTTTAAGTTGTTATCAGGAAGACACTGTTGCCCATCTCCCATTTCAGTTCCCTCTTTCGCCTCTTAGGACAACTACGATATGGGGTTGTGGATTTCGTCACCTTTTTTTTTATAGGATAGGGTGACAAGCGAGCACACAGTCCACCTGATGGTAAGTGGCCGCTGCGGCCCATAGACATCTACATTTATCCTCGTTTGCGATTCAAAATGCAGATGCGTTGTCACCCGTGAGGACTAAGATGGAATGCCTCGTTTCCAGTAAAAAGCGTAAAGCGTAAAGAGCGTGGTCTTTCCCCGGTCGAGCCGACCCATTCGTGCTACAACTATATTGCTAATACAGCTGCAGCATGGCTCTACCACGTTTCAAAAGTTTTGTTATTTATTATTTAGGCTTAATATTTAAAAGGTTAATTATTCTGAAAGTGAAATAACTAAGTTTATTTTGAAATAACATCAAAGAAAAATAATTCTACTATAAATCGTTATCCGATGATTTGTATAATGTGACAATATGTTATTTTACGTATGTGATAAATAAAAAGTAAAACCAACGACGTGTTTAAATACGAAAAAAACGAAACGGAAGATGCGTTGAAATAAAATTTTATACAGTGATCGTTAACGCGGCCCGCGTCCAATATTAAATGGACGGTGGTGTAGAAGTAAAAATTAAAGACAAACATAAATTTTAGAAAAAAAATAATTGAATCAAGCGTTCGTTCCCTGCACTGTTTCGATTGATGATTGGATTGTAATTCGATATTGCATTTTGTGGTAACCTTTCAAATACACGTGTTACTATAATATGAGGAATAGTTTATGAATGAACTGCTGTGGAAATTGATCATGATATATTTCACTTTTTGAACCGTAAAAAAAGTCCATCACTCCATGTCGTCCCGTAACTGTTGTCTGATCGCCTCCATTAAATGGTGGTATAACTGTCAATACCAGATTAAACAAAATCTGCGTATTTTCTGGCGATGTTCTACGATGCTGCGGAACTTGGTCGCTAATCCACCTACAGGACATGGCGGTTATGACAAATCTTTATTACTATGGGAGAGGCTTCACTCAAACAATAGACTTAGATACTAGACCTAAGAAGAAGAAGAAGAAAAAAGAAATCTAGAAGATGAGCTATGCTTTTTGGCTACTCTTGAATGTTTTTTTATAGAATGATGACAAGCAATCACATAGTTCACCGGATTGTATGTCGATGCTGTGGCTCATAGATCTTCATCTATCCTGGATTAAAAATCAAAATGCAGATACGTTGTCTGAATGAACGCCTCGTTTCTGATGAAAAGGGTCTCCGGTTCTCTACACTCACCTACGAAACACAATTGCGTTAAGCATCTATTTCACTCTGGTATTCTGTGAGAGCGTGGTCCTTCCCCGGTGAAGGCGACCCATTCTTGCTACAAACATCATAAAACTGCAGCATGGCTTTACCACCTAAAAATGATTTATATTACTTGGTCATATAGCTTGAAGAATTAACTAACGGATGCAGAACCGATGGCGAAGAAAGTTTCATGATTGCCTCAAGCTGGTAAGCGCAATGTTGGGCGAACTCCAAGTCAGAGTCATGACCTGATGAAACATACAGTGTCGATGGTGGTGGGTAGAGGTGGGTCAGCACCGTGCTTTGGACATTCAGTGGTCATGATAATGAATAGTAAGTATGTTTAAGGTATGAACAGCAAAATTGAAATCTGTAAACATTCTTTCTTAGTTCTCAGTTCTAATATCGCATCTGTAGCCTTTATTGTTTGGAGTTAATTGCAGCCGCCCATGGCTGGCTGCAGCGGCTGCTTAGATACTATAACGTGGACAGTAGATATCTAAGTTCGTTTATCACTTCAGTTTTATGAAGAAAAGTGTCTGAATTCACGTTTCAACTAAGGAACAACTCTTAGCACAAGTACTTTACACTTAATAAATTAACTAAATACTGGTCGTGTAATAATAATGCTAGAATTGTGTGAATAAAAATCTCCCCCTAACACTGCTCTAAGTGCCATGTTATATAGATATTTTCTAAATTATACATAATTACGGATATTAGGTAGAGGTGTTGGTGCGAAGGCTGCACCAAACTGGATTCGAAGTGGAGAAGAATAAATTTAAAGTTAAGTTATGAGCGGACCGATCTAACAACATGAATGAAACCCCACCCCGCACCCTGCACCTCTAACCCAGGACCCATCGGCCGCGTGTGGCCTTTACCAGTGCCGCTTCAGGGCTGGATTTAAAGATTATATTAATTGAAAATAAATTTTGCTATATCTATTTTATGACCTCAAGCTTCCTCATACGGTCAGCAGTGAGGTACCTACCGTGTTTCAGATCCGTATGTTTGTGTTCAAATTTTGAGGAATGCTTGACGAGAAACTGTTTCTATAATCAAACTTATGTGCAATGAGCCGGCGATATAGCTCGAAGAATTAAAAACGGATGGGGAAGAAAGTTTTTCAAGTGGCAGCTTCTTACTGGTGAGCGAAGTGTAGGGTAGCCAGTATATGCAGTGGCGACCTGGTGGCATTACTTCGGGCAGGACTTCCAGCAACGGGCTTGTAAATGGATTTAACGAAGAAGATGATAAATTCTACGTTATTTCTTGAAATTTATACATTTATACAATAATAAAAATAGGATATTATTGTAATCGACAAATAATTTTAATTGAAATAATTTTATTTCTTACAAAAAGTGACTAAACCTAATTCGAAACGTGGCCCTATTACAAAGATATAACTCATTTGTTTAAAAGTCTTGATATTTTAAACTAGCTGATACCCGCGACTTCGTTATATTAACAAAGTTTTCGTTTGTGCGAAGGAAAAAACATCAAAATGATTGATCGCAGGCAAAAATATTCTTTGCTTACAAAATTTCCTTGTAAACAATGTTATAAACGCGAGTTAATAACGCGAGAGCAAGCGACCTACAGTTGACCGTGTGAAAAACAGCTAAACACACCTCACTGAACACGTAGTGCTTATAAAAATCGTTGTTTCTTAAAACTTAAAGTAAAAACTTTATATTGATGATTTTTTGAAGTGTATAAGAAATAAAACTTAGATAACCTAATTGAAATCTATCCAGTAGTTTTTCCGTGATGCCCGCACAACTGCAAAGCTCTATCATTTTATTTATATAGGTTTATATAGATTATCAAAAAATATGTTGACATTATTATTATATATTATACTAGCTGTTCCCCGCGACTTCGCCCGCGTGTAATTTAGGGTTTTAATTTTTTTGCGAGGAACCCTAATTATTTTTCTAAAATAAAAGTAGCCTAAGTTATTCCTTATGACATCAATTATCTGCAAATGAAAGTCCCGTTAAAATCGTTCCAGCCGTTTCGGAGATTAACCGGAACAAACTGCCAAACAGACAGACAAAAATTTTAAAAAGTGTATTTTTGTTATAAGTGCCGTTTATACTTTCATATGCATTTAGTAAAACGCTGTAATTTTGACATTACAAACAGACACTTCAATTTTATTTATTTGTATAGATATAGATTCTTATATCTTGTTCTTGCCCTTCATCAGCCCGTATAAATGCTGGATACGAGCCTATGGAAAGTCCACTGGGAGAAACTATTTTATATCAAGTTTAATTTTATATATTCAAATGGTGTAAAATATTTCTACGTATGTCTTTTGTATAATACGGCCCTGGTATAAGGTGAGATGACACGTTATCGGCGCGGTAATCTGAACCCAAAATATTACGATTCAAAACTTGGTCAAGACCTTATATCCCGAATATAGTAACTTTGGGCACCATTAAAGGGAAAAGTGGTCGTTTATAACTCCGACTCTGAATACTTTATTTGTTTAGTCATAATAAAACGTTGTCAATTAAGCGGACTTGGGAATAACGTCTTGTGTTTTATTTTAAACCAGTTATAATGACTATAAGGATTTTTGAGAAACGTACAAGAGAAGAACACGAGTGCCACGTATACCTATAAATTAAATTTTTAAAATAATTTATTGAACCTTATTTATCGCTTTGTAAATACTTATAAAATTTACTAACGATGAGTATTTAAAAAAAAAATTCTAAACTTTTTATGCCTACTTTTTACTTATTATAAGTGTAAGTAAGACTTAAAAAAATGTCTCTCTAAAAGTCTGAAGTCAGCTTCCAGGTGCTAACTCTGACTAAAACAACAGCGGTTTGCTGAACCCAAATCCCTTTGATTTGAGATCTGTTAAGTGAAGTGTGAACACCCATTGGCATTGACGGAAACCGATGCGGTCTCTAACTAACCAACGAGTTGAATATGGACTAATCATTCATGTTATTTATTACTGGTGGACTTGTTTGTCACTCTTACATCTATAAAAAATAAATTACATATAAATAGTCTTAAGAACATGCAAACTTTTCTAATACAGTAATTATAATCGCGTTGACGGCTCCGTGGCGTAGTGGCTTAGCAATGAGTTGCTGCGCTGGGGGGCGCGGGTTCGAATACCGCACGGAACAAGTATTTGTATGGCCTACAAATGATTGTTCCGGATCTGGATGTTTGTCCTTGTGCAATTTGTGTTTGTAAACTCCTCCATAATACAATTAATATTCGCCGAACCTTAATAGAATTAATATTAACCGTGTAGTGACTGTGTAAGAATATCCACTACCGTAAGACCGCCGTCGTAAGAGGCGACAGCGGAAAACAAATCAGAACACGGGCAGCAGTGTCTTCTTGATAACGATTTAAAATTAAAAACTGCGGTTGCCAACCCGCTTGCAAAGCGTGGTAACTATGGCAAATATT